GTTAAGGTACAGGGGAAGCCCCGAGTTAGGATGAGGTGTTTAATTTTAATTGGGCAAGTTAATTAGGTGAGCCAAAGGGGGCTTTGGATTGCTTGACTTTAATACTTTGATAGCTGGACCTTAATAGTCAGCCTCAGGAGGATAAGGTGGCCAATAAGGACTGTATCTAACAGGTTAGCAAGGCAGAGGGAATGGGGGAGAAGGACAGGCCTGCCAGAGCCACGTAGACCATGACTAGGCTGGCTAGCGTGCTTTCTGTCCAGCCTCTGGTTCCCGGCCATTCAGGCAGCGCCAGCCATGGGCTCCCTCTCACGGCCTAGATGAGTCGGCCTAGATGAGTCGTTTGTCAGCTGCTCTCATAGTTTCTGTCCCATCATTACCCCAGCACATCTTGGAGGCAGGGACAGATTGTAGGTCGAAGGTTTTGTGGCTGGGTTTGTGTCCCAGCTGGAGGCCTTGCCTGGTTATAGAAAATGGCTGGTTCAGGCTCCGTATCTCCCATTCATAGGAGTCTTCACTTGGATAACTTTCAAAGATTCTAGAAAGTTCCCACTGCACTAGGTTTTTACATCACCCCCCAATGCCCCCCAATTCCAATCATCTCTCCCGGTACTTTTTTCCTCCATCCCGCCTCCCGCCACTTGATCCCTCCTGTTCCCATCCCCACCTGCCCCCAATCAACTAAGATAAACCTATTCTATCTCTCCTTTTCAGGGAGACCTATGTGTTCCCCACCCGAGCCCCTCATTGTTCCTGTTGGTATTTTGCCCCCACAGAGGGGTTTTAGGATTTAGCAGAGGACAAACCCAGAGCAGACAAACAGAAGTATCAGAATGCTTATCTGGATTCTTCCTGTTGAGAGCCAGATGGGTGGTGCTGGCAACCCAGCCAAAGGGTCAGAGTGAGCTCTGACAGTGTGGCTCTCGTCATAAATGCAGCCCAAGAAAGATCCTTGGTCCTCAGAAAGAGTGCCTGAGGGAGCTCTGGAATCTTATTAGGGATGTGTGTGTGTGCTCGAACACGCGTGTTGGGGACCACAAGGAAGTTCTGGCTCCAGATCACTGTCCCCCATCTCCTGACTCCAGGTGAGCAGGGTAGGAACATGACCTGTTAGCGCTAACAGGTCAGAATGATTTCTTAGCTGTCTGAGTCTCCTAGATCATGGGACCAGCCAGTCACCGCCATGAGAGCCACAGCCAGGCCAGGTCACCCGGGCATCTCCTCTTCCTCCTGAGTCTCAGCATGTATAGCACAGCTACAAGGTGCACAGGCCATTCCCCAACTGTTCTGGTGGCTCATGAAACTTTACAGGACAGTCAGGGTCCCCAACAGAAGGAACAGAGGACATAGGCCCTCAGGGAGTGAGTCTAGCAGCTTCTCTCCTGCAGGCAAATAGTAACGGACGCTGCTGATCTGACAGCTGTCCTGACCCAGTGTCGGCTTCCTGCTCATATATGCTTGTGTTCCTCATGCGTTCATGACCCAAAGCACCCACATGAACACCTATGTTGGACATGACATCCTATGCCATCCTAAACAAAACTTAGGAGGCCCAGCCTTGGGTCAAGAATGGAGTTGAGGGGCCATTTTTGTTTGGTGAAGATCCAGGTTACCCCTTGGGAATGGAGGAATAGGGGCATCTCGGACTCAGACTTAGAACTATAAATGAGTGTATAATTCAGCATTAAAAAAAAAAGACTTATTTGTTTATTATGTATATAGTATTCTGAAGAGGGCACCAGATCTCATTATAGATGGTTATGAGCCACCATGTGGTTGCTGGGAATTGAACTCAGGACGTTTTGGGAAGAGCAGCTACTGCTCTTAACCTCTAAGCCATCTCTCCAAGCCCCTAATTCAGCTCTTTTAATGTGTGTGATGGAATGGTGATGGAATCCAGGGCCTCGTATATGTGGACAAGTCCTCCCACTAAGCCACACCCTGTGATTGTATCTATTTAACTGTGGTTATGACATAGCCCACAGAGACACTGTGGGCTTCTATAGATCAGGGAATTTCCTTTCCCTCCATTGATCTCAGAAGTGGCTTGTTCTATTTTCACTACGTGGCCCTGATGCTCCATTAATTAACACCTTAGAGCAAACATTTGCCTCTCCTGTCGTGAAGTCCCTCACCCATCTATTTAGTCCTCATGGGCTTAATCCATGGGGACATCCAAGTACCTTATGAAAACATGTTTTCTTGAACATCATTAACAACAGGGACCCACCTCATGCCTGCCTCCTCCATAGCTCCTCCACTGGGCTCAGTAGGACCACAGATGAGATAATTACATTCTTTACTGAGTGGATCTACACTAAACTTTGGGGTGGAGGCTTTCAGTGTTCTGGGAAGACACAGAAAATGATTGCTAGTGTATGTGGGTGCATCACGTCTCAGTTCTCTTCCGAGCCTCCAGGTCTGGCCCCCAGTCATCATCTTGCTCTGCCTCGCTGCTTTTCTCCAGGTCCTGCCTGTGATATGGGGAGTTATGGGAAATCTCAGGCAGTGGAAGGGATATTCCGGGGGTGGGGTAGGAACCTTGAGATCAAATAGATTTTTTTTTTCTGTCACTAATCCATGTCTTCATGTTTCCTCCTTTTCCTTTTATGAGCTTCATGACCTAGAGGGTACAGGCAGGACTTTGAAATACGCTCATGGTCATAGTCAAGGCAGGTGGAAACAAATCACAGATGGGAACAGCAAGCTGCTCTGAGCTCCCCTGTCAGGTCTACTCCTCCCTCACCTGGTGACTGACTTACCTCTGGTACCATTGTGACTGGAAGGAGAGGTGAGGGTGCTTGGAAGGTCTGTCCCGAGTCACATTAGGTTCATATCATTAAGTTCAACACTCTGCTCAGGGGCGAAGTATGACACCATGACCACCAGAGTCTCTTGGGTGAGGATCAGTGAAAGGGGAATATGAACCTCATGGTAGGCTCCCTCTGAGCTGAGTTTTGGTTCTGAAGGTCCCACTGAGTTTGGGCATGAGCACATCTGGTGGTCATAGACTACCGTGATGGACACTCCCTTCGTGAACAGGGAGCATCCGGTCCTAGTTAGCATTAACTGTTAAACTGACACAGGCTAAAGTCACAGAAGAATCTCAGTTGAGCCATCGTCTTTTCCAGGTCAGTGGTCAGAAATTTGAGGAGGACTGTCTTGATTGTCTTAGTTGATGTAGCGGGGCTGAGGCCACTGTGGGTGGCACCATCCCCGAGCAGGTGGTCCTGGGTTGTTTGAGGAAAATAATGAAGCAGGGGTGAGGGGTGGGGAAGAGGGGAGATGGGGAGATAGATAGATAGATAGATAGATAGATAGATAGATAGGATCAATTATTGACCCATCAAGCTGCTCACCTCCTCAGTTTCTACCTCCAGGCTCCTGTCTTTGCGTATCCACCTTGACTCCCTCAATGATGCATTTGACCTCAGAGTCAGGCCTGTAAATTCTTTGCTCCCCTAAGCTGCTTTTGTCAGGGTGCTCATCACAGCAGCAGAAGGAAAGTTAGAACAGTCTTCTGGGAAGAGTATAAAGCATATTTATTTGGATCCCACATGGTCTTTGACCTTCATGAGCACACCCCTTAGTACTGAATGGGGAAAGTAATGCAAGGATTTAGACACAGTACATGGACCAACCAAGAGCAGGCATGGCCTCATACCGGATGCTCTCCCTTCCATTTTAAGAGAGAAGGTGAGATGTGCTTTGAAATTTGGAGGTGCATGACTCTTCCTATGGCTGCCAGAAACCTATGTGCATTCTATTTCTGTCTGTGGATGAAAGTAGACTCCTAAGTTCCAAGAAGAATCTCCAACTCTGCCTGGCCTTACCCAGCACTGGATAGAAGGTCTGGAGGTCTGGAGGGCCACAGTGAACGACATGATTGGCCCCACAATGCACCTGTGCCCAGGCATCAGGCCCATTCACAGTATTTGAACCTGGTCTCCATTCCTCCTACAGCCTCAGGCAAGCTCTGCAGGTCTCCCCAATGCTCACCAACATGTGTCATCCAGACAGGAAATCAACACTCAGGAGATTATTTCCCAGAGATCCCTACTTGTGATGAGGTTTTCACTCCCCCAAAGCCGTAGAGGTTACTCCCACAGCCTTCTCCGGCCTCCCAGCTTCTCTGTGTGTCTCTGAGCATACTGCTCTGCCAGGGGCTCTGTGCAATCCCTGTGTTCTGGAATCTCCCATGGGGAAAAACAGACTTTCCAGAGTAGAACCACCCAGGCAGAAGACAGAGGTCTCTCAGAGAAGTCAGGGAGTGGTTGGGCAGATCCAAGACACAGATTAACCAAAGCAGGAAGCTGGAAGTTCTATGTGAGATTCTATATGATGGCAGGTGACCTCCTCCCCCACACTCAGGGCATGAAACTCCTGGCACAGTTGTGCTGCTTGCCGCTGACTGTTGGCATGAGTGGTGATGGTTGAGTCCTCTAGGTTACCATGGAGCTGGTGCACACATCCACCTGTACACAGATGCACACAAGTGCACACACCCCTCAGAGAGATCTGTGTCACCTTCCCGACGGAAGTAAACCTCACCTTCCCAGAACACACAGGGATGACTGGATGTTCAGCCAGGTTTCTGTGTCTCAAAGGACATATAGCAAGGACAGAGGGGTCTCCCTTTCTGATACTGACAGACCCAAGGCCAAAAGACACAACAGAGGTCACCCATAGGGTGTTATTCTGTTAGGGCATGAGGAGACTTATCAGCTTTATTGCTCACTGTGCAGTCTGGAGGACTGAGACACAGAGGAAAGGGGATAGGGAAAAGGGACAGGAGAGGGCAAAGAAGAGATGTGTCTCGGACAGAGACGAAGTCCACAGCCCATGTGAGTTTTGAGGGGCTCCTTCCTGTGCGGAGGCTCAGATAAAAAGGAAGAATGGCAACAGAGCTGACAGGAGGGCAGAGTGTGGGGGCAGTGCTGGATCAGAAGCCCTTTTCCACAGGGTGAGCATAGAGCAGGTGGCAGGTGGCAGGGGCCGTGATGGACTCTGCTGTACTTTCCTGCAAAGGTTGCACCTCCTGGCAGGAGACCCTGGCCACCGGGGTGGCGGTGGTGGTGGTGGTGGTGCATTCTTAGGCACTGTGGGAGGAGGGGGAGCATAGAGCCTGGCTGGAGTCCTCTGGAGAAGCCAGAAGCCTGGTGGGAGACTCAGGGCTTCTGTTTTCAGTCTGAGGGGAGAGGACACAGACAGGGACAGGCATTCAGCAGCAGAAAGCTCCCAATGACATGAGATGGTATAAAGGAGAAAAGGTTCCATTATTCTCGATTCCAAGTTGATCACATTGACAACTAAATCCTGAGGACTGATGTCCGTAACCATGAGAGGGCGAGTCTTCAATTAAAAGACAAACTAGGGAGAGCCATTGAGATGACTCAATGGTACTGGCACTGGCAGCCGAGCCAAGAAACCAGCTCAGTCCCCAACACCTCCATACGTATGCTGTGCACACAGCCACCTGTACACAGATGCACACAAATGCACACACACTGAGACCCATTCCTACACACCCCCACACAAATACACAAAGTAAGAAAAAAAATCAAACTTGTATTGAACCTGTAATTAGCTTCACATATTAGAATTTGGTAAACACACTCCTGGGTGCCCAGGACCGTGGGGCATACATTCTAGCACTCATCCAAAGCTGTTCAAGCCTCTCTCAGGCATTGGACCTTCTAAAGATGTCAGGCTCCATTTGGTTCTCATAAATACCTGGACTAGTGGGCTGGAAAATAGACCAGCAAGGACATCTAGAAGGAGAAGTCAGAGAACTGGGACCAAAGAGAGAATGGAGAAAGAAAAACAAAGGAAGTGAAGACCGAGGGTCTCCAGAGCTAAGAGGAACAGGAGGCATCACCTCTGCTCAAGCACTCAAGTGGGAATCTGCGGACAGTATGGGGAGCCCTGCAGACACCCGAGGAGGGAGTGCCACACAGAGAAAGCAACAGGTCCAGGGCCACCAAGGGAGTGGATGGTGGTCATGTTGCGCCCCCTTTCTCCACTGTGTCCCCACGTTGTGGTTTGAGGATTTAGTGCAAGACATGCATTATGAAGACAAACTGCTGTAGACCAGAATCCCTCCCCTGACTCCACCCACAGAAAAGAGGACCTGTGCTGGGTAATTCAGCCAAGGACGTTGGTCTCAGCTCAGACTCTTGGGGCTGTCATCATGAACCTGGCCCTGAGTTTGAGAAGAGAGGAGGAAACCATGGGATCTTTAGTGGCCCTGGCTCCAGACCTCTGCCCAGACTAAGCTCGAAGGGAAGGACGACAGCAGAGCTGACCAGAACAGGGACTGGGGGTACTTCTGGAGCTGAAGGGAAGGAGAACAGAGCAGACAGCCACAGAGACACCCCTACATCTCTGAAAACTCCTGCTACAGGAGTTTTCATGCCGTTCCCTGTCTCTGTGTGGGAGGAGGTTAGCTCAGTGATGGCCTGGAGTCTTCCTAGGAGAATTAGGGCCTGAGAGGAGATGCAGGATTTCTTTCTGCTTCCTGAGAGAAGACACAGCAGAGACACAGAGACACAGACTCTCTCTCAGGAGAGAGAGCTAAGGGGGGCAGGAGGCATCACCTCTCTCTCAGGAGAGAGAAAGGCTTAGCAGGAGAAAGCTCTCAGTGAACAAGAAATGGTAAGGGGCAGGGGAGAGAAAAGTTGGATTGTTCATTAATTAAGTTAATCACCTTGGCAACTGTTCTGAAGACTAATGTTCCCAGCTATGACAAGATGACTCTTGAAAAAAAAAAAAAAACAACAAAATTATGAGGTGACTCTACAGATATGGGCACTTGCTGTCAATCCTGATGATCTGAGTTCAATCCTCATATCTCACATGGTGGAAGGAGAAAACTGATTAACATAAGCTGTTCTCCAACTTACTCATAGGTACCGTGGTATGCACCCACTCACACACCCACTGAAACATGCTTGAGTACATGTGCCCCACACAACAAAGAGTAAATAAAGGAAAAAAATTGGGGTATGAAAACTGTAATTAGCTTGGAACCTGAGAATTTGGAAAATTAACGGGTGAAAACACAGTGACCTGAAATGTGTCTCTATCCATTCATCCACTGAGCCCTTTCTAGGCATTGGGGCTTCTAAGAATATCAGACTGGTCCCTGGCCACAAAGCCCTAGAAGTAGATAGAAAGACACATAAGCAAGGGCAATGAGATGCACCACAAAGGAACAGTGAAAAATAAGTCAGTGTGGAGACTCGGGGTCTGCTGAGGAAGAGGCCAGGGTAGTCATCCTCGTCCATGTGCTCTGGGTGTGAGCAACGCCCTGAGGGCATTGAGGGATGAATCATGCAGACAGAATCATGAGCAGCGAGTTCCAAACAGAGGAAATGACAAGTTCAAGGCCCCTGAGGGCCTGGAGATCATGTTGTTGACCCCACCAAGCAGGATAGGCACACCCTAACCCATGCACCAAGGCTGAGTGATGGACACACCAGCTCATGACTCAGAGACCCTTCCTCCCACAAAATACAAAAGACTCATTATTGAGGGTTTCTTTCTATTTCCTTCTAGGCTCACTGTTAGGCTACACGAAGCATCTTACCTCTTCACAACTCACAAATGAGCTGGTGCCACTCATGGTTGATGAAGGGGACAAAGTTCTCCTACTGGTTCACGATCTGCCAGAGAAGCTTCAAGGCTTGGCCTGGCACAAAGGGGTACTTCCATTTGGCCATTTAAAGATAGCAAACCATGCTGTCTTTGCAGTCTTCACTAAGTCAAGCATCCTGGAGCATGCATATTATGGCAGAGCAACAATACGCACTGACGGTAGCCTGCTGTTCTGGAATGTCACCCGGAAAGACACAGGACTCACACCCTATGAACCATATCTGCAGACATCTGCAGACTTGAAATCAGAATGGGTCATTATGCACTTCCAAGTGAACAGGAAGTGATTCTTTGTGACTCTGGATGATGGTGGGGTTTATTCTACTCTATGTACACAGGACGGAGAAGCCAGGACTGTGCCTACCTCCTCTCTGCACTGTGTCCTCTCTCTTGAATTTGGGCATTTGGTGCAGGACACACATGGGGTAGAAAAGCAGGATCAGAAGCCCTGGCCTGACTCTAACCTGCATGGAGGATGGTAACTCAGTTGAAGGATGCCATCCTCAGCTCAGACTCTCTGGGCTCTCACCATGAACATGGCTCTGAGAAAGCTTTGTGACATTGCTTGAATCTGACTGTCTGCCAGCGCTGACTAGAAGCAACGCTTTATCCTGCACCCAAGTCTTATAGCATGTGGAAACAACCAGTAGCTGTCATGACAACCATGGTTAGGCTAGGCCACCCGGGCATCTCCTCCTGACTCAGCATGGACAGCAGAGCTGGGCACGTGTGTGCACAGGGCACCAGACAACTGTGGTTGTCTTCATTTGCTTATGAGACTTCACAGGAAGGTCAGGCTCCCCAACTGGAGGGAGAGAGTGTAGGCATAATGTTATCGTACACTGTGTAAAGACTCAAATGCTGACTTCTGTGCCACCCATTTCTGGTTGTAAGCCTTTTTCTGAGACTCTCTTGTCTAAATTTTACTCCCCAATTGTTCCCTGATATGTCAACAAAGAGGTTTGACAACTGATGACTGAGCAGAGGAGAGAATAACGCTGGACTTCCTGCCAGTCCGATATACAGATAAACATTTTTTTCTTTTTTAATTAAATATTTATTTTTTTATATTAATTAGAGTTTATTCACTTTGTATCCCAGCTGTAGCCCCCTCCTTTATTCCCCATCAATCCCACCCTCCCTCTCTTATCTCCTCCCATGCCCCTCTCCAAGTCCACCAATAGGGGAGGTTCTCCTCCCCTTCCATCTGACGCTAATCTATCCAGTCTGATCAGGACTGAGAACACAGGACTTTAAATAATTAAAAGAGGATAATGGAAGAGGAAGGTTTAAATTGTGGTGGGAAATGGGAAGACCATCAAGGGGAAGTAATATGGAGAGGGATGACTAACAATAAAGATATTTAAATGACTATATGAGCCAGTCCTGATGATAGGCTTGGGGAGGAGCCCAAGGGAGGGGAGGAGGACTACCCCTATCAGTGGACTAGGGGAGGGGCATGTGGGGAGAAGAGGGAGGAAGGGTGGGACTGAGAGGAGATGAGGGACATGGGTACAGCTGGGATACAAAGTGAATAAATTGTAATAAATAATATCTAAATATTAAAAAACAAAACAAACAAAAATAAAAACTACTACACTAGAACATTTGTCATCAATCACCATTTATCACCAAAGTCCTCCTAGGCGTCTGGTGGGGTTTCTAATGAGGTACCGTCACATTGCAGATCTTCCGTCTCAGTGTTATCTTGGACCCTTTCAAGTGCAGACATCATCTCCCCAGGCCAGAGGCTCTTGGAAATCCTGGTTGATGCATTAAGTACTCTGTGGACTTGGTTTAGTTTACGAGATCAAAGGCCGAGTCTTCCATGAGTGAGGATTACTTCACCTGACAGAACTTGGGAATCAGTCGAAATCTCTTTGATGTTTTCTTAAATATCTAAATAGTGCAATACCGTTTGGTCTGAAGCCTGAAGACTTCAGTTAGGTTTTTTTGTTTTTTGGGGTTTTTTTGGCTTACATGGTGGAATGTGTTAACTGCTTTCTTCAAGATGTACTCAGATCTACACGTGGCCTGTGTGTCTGTGTATACACACATACACCCAATAAAGCAGTAATGATTTGAAAAATATGAGGTGGGGAGAGAGTCTTAACATCTTTTTAGTTGAAGACAGTGATAAGAGCTAATGATGGTAAAATTAGGTCATAGGGCAAAATCATCAGAGAATATAAGCTTAGTCATGAATGCTGGGCTTCTAGAATCTCCTGGTAATAATTTGGGAACTAATCTCAAGATAGGTTTGTTATTCCTGGATATGTCTAACTACAGTAGCAATTCCAAAGCAGGATGTGATGTCCACAGCATGTCTTGGAGGGGTTGGCTTGGTTTTGAGAGCTCTTCCATCACAGATCATGAAAGGATGCACAACAGAAGACAATGGGAGACACAGAAAGACAGAGAACCTCAGAAATCTGCAGTATACTTTCAGTAATATTTTATTATTAAATTTTCATTTAATTATTTAGTGTGTTTATTCACATGTGTATATAAACCATTGTTATTGAAATTTTGGCTTGTTTCTTCATAGTCGCCAGATTGTGACATGGAAATTAGGGGTTCCTTCTTGGAGCTCTTAGTTTAATAAAAGGATTTGAAGGAATTGAAGATAACAGGGCTAACTCCATTTTGTTTCTCAGACTCTTTCTGACGTTGACTGTCCTTAGAGTGCCTTTGCCCCCACCTCCAGGTTCTGAGAAAGAGCACCTGGTCTTCCATCCCACAGAATGTGTTAATAGTTAACTGCAATCAGGCCTCCATCCCGCAGGTTGTAAATAACACAGAATGAGTTAATAGATAACTGCAATCAGGACCAGAGGTTTCTACAGATATCTGGCAGTTTGGCCAGGTGGCCTGGCCCAATCAGCTTAAAGGTCACCTTGCTTGCTGAGCTCTTACCCAATTTTACCTAATCCTGTTGGAATTCCCTGCTTGTGCTTTTTCCCTTTAAAAACTCTGCCCTCACATCATGAAACTGAAAAGCTTCTATAAAGCAAAGGGCTTTAGAATAAAACGTTTCAGAATAAAACGACAGCCTACAGCTTGGGAAAGGATCTTCACTAACCCTACATCTGACAGAGGGCTAATATCTAGAATATGTAACGAACTCTAAGAAGTTAAACATCAACAAATCGAGTAATCTGATAAAAAAAATGGGGAACAGAGCTAACCAGAATTCTCAATAGAGGAATATCTAATGGCAGAGAAACATTTTAAGAAATGCTCAACCTCATTAGCCATCAGGGAAATGCAAATCAAAACGACCGTGAGATTTCACCTTACACCCATCAGAATGGCTAGTATCAAAAATTCAAGTGGCAGCACATGCTGGAGAGGTTGTGGAGAAAAGGGAATCCTCCTCCATTGCTGGTGGGAGTGCAGACTTGTATAACCACTTTGGAAATCAATCTGGTGCTTTCTCAGACAATTAGGAATAGCGCTACCTCGAGATCCAGCTATACCACTCCTAGGCATATATCCAAAATATGTTCAAGCATACAACAAGAACATTTGCTCAACCATGTTTGTAGCAGCTTTATTCATAATAGCCAGAAGCTGGAAACAAACCATATGTCCCTCAATGGAAGAATGGATACAGAAATTGTGGTACATTTACACAATGGAATACTACTCAGCAATTAAAACAAGGAAATCATGAAATTTGCAGGCAAATGGTGGACTCTAAAAAAGATCATCCTGAGTGAGGTTTCCCAGAAGCAGAAAGACACACATGGTATATACTTACTTATAAGTGGATATTAGACATAAAATGTAGGATAATCATACTAAATCTGTACACCTAAAGAAACTAAAAGAAGGAGGACCCTGGTAAGACGCTCAATCCTCATTCAGAAAGGCAAAAGGGTCAGACATCAGAAGAGGATGAAAACAAGGAACAAGACAGGAGCCCACCACAGAAAGCCTCTGAAAGACTCTGCCCAGCAGGGTATCAAAGCAGATGCTGAGACTCATAGCCAAACTTTGGGCAGAGAGTAGGGAATCTTATGAAAGAAGGGGAAGATAGAAAGACCTGGAGGGGAATGGAGCCTCACAAAGAGAGCAACAGAACCAAAATATCTGGGCACAGGAGTCTTTTCTGAGACTGATACTCCAAACAAGGATCATGCATGGAGATAACCTAGAACCCCTGCCCAGATGTAGCCCATAGCAGCTCAGTGTCCAAGAGAGTCCCCAGTAATAGCAACAGGGATTGTCTCTGACATGAACTCAAGGGCTGGCTCTTTATTCACATCCCCCCTGGGGGTGGGGGGGAGCAGCCTTATGAGGCCACAGAGGAAGACAATGAAGCCAGTCCTGGTGAGACCTGATAGGCTAGGGTTAGATGGAAGGGGAGGAGGACATCCCTGATCAGTGGACTGGGAAAGGGGCATAGGAGAAGAGGAAGGGATGGTAGGGTTGGGAGGGGATGGGGGAAGGGGCTACAGCTGGGATACAAAGTGAATAAGCTGTAATTAATTAAAAAAAAAAAACAGAGTTAGAAATTGATTGGATACAGCTGTAAGCCAAGGACCCACCAGAAGAAGCAAAGGATCCATTCCTTTTAGAGGGGCTAAAAAACCCAAACCCCAAAACAAAAAAAACTAAACAAAACCAACCAACCAACCAACCAACCAACCAACCAACCAACCAACAAACAAACAAAAAACTGCCTTCCTGAGGCTCAGGCTGCTCTTTCTAAATTGCTGTGTCAGGGATGATTGAAGGCCCAAGCCCGAGCTTGAATAAAGTGTTTGCATTGGACTGGTGTTCCTGGTGGTCTCTTCTGGACCTCTCAAATTTGGGCATTACATTTAGGGGCTCATCTGGGATCCCCCAGGTCCCCAGGACCTCAACCTGGAGGATCTTGTGCCGGCTGGTGAGTGTCTCTGTGTAATGTGTATGTTTTGTGCTTACTCTCAGTTCTGAAAAGCCTCCAGGTGTTGGCCTCACTGGAGAGTCACAGCTGTGGGGTCAGGGAGACATCTCTGGCCCTGGTGTGGTTCAGGTAGAACCTACCTGTCAGTTGGAGAGATTTTCGGTGGACGTGGAATCCCATCCTCTACCCTCCTCTCTCTGCCGCTTTCGGTTTCCATGGCAGGAAAACCATGGTGGGAGCCTGTGAGTCTGAGCTTTTGGATCCACTCCTGTTTCCAGTTGTGAACGACTACTTTGTTCACATTTGTCTTTCTATTTCGTTCCTTGAGTTTGCATGTCTTTGTTTGTATTGGACTGTGATGGACATTATGGGACATACTTTCTCTAACCCCTGACTATTCCTCTTGACCCCTCCACCTGTGCATCCTTCACCCTTCCGAGTCCCACCCTGCTGCCCCTTCCCCTCCAGGGATGGACAGGTGGTCTGGCAGCAGGCAAGGGCTGGGTGGGGATGAAAGGGCGGTTCCCGGGACACCCGAGCACAGGCATATTAAAAATGAAAAATATTTCAGATTACTCCCCCTCTATGCTATTGGCATGCTTATGTTGTTATAAGATTTCAGAAGTTCAGAGTTACAACATTGATCAATAGAATTCTGCTAAGCGGATGGAGCACTGACTGCTTATTATCCATTACAAGCTCAAGATTTTAATTTCCCTTTGGTTGTCTTCTGGAAATAGACTTAAAGGTGCTTTTCATCATGCTAAAAATATCTGTCTAATGTGTTTATCTCTGACTCAAAAGCCATAGCTTTTACTAGTTCTTAATGGCATGAGTCTACTCCTGCTGTCTTGTAGACAACTGTTCACTGCTTTTTTTAAAGTATAGATCTTAATACAATAGTGATACTAATATACTTCCTTTTGTAAACTAAAATTCATATGAGTTTCAGGAAATCAAAAAGTCATGAGACCTGGATCTGGCATAGCTAAAATGGACCCCAGATGGAGTTTTTTCCTTGGTCTTGGGATTTCTCACTTTCCCCATTTACTAGATTGTTGTATTAGGCCATAAATATTTACTATTGCTATATCTTTTAGTAAAGCTGTGGTTAATCCTAAACAGATGTATACCCAAATCACCACACTGAGACTGGGATTTATTTAATTAACCTAGAACACAATGCTGGGCAATAGTTACTCCATTCTAAACTCTTAGCCCACATACCATTCAGATTCACCCATTATACTTGCTTTTAGTGATATCTTAGCTCTGGTTTATTTTTCCTCATTGTTCCAAGACCTCTCTTCTAGCTTCTGCTCTCTCTGCTTCTCCCTCTCGCTTCTCCTCCTCCTCTGCCTCCCATTCCTTCCTGTTCTCCTCTTCCTTCCTCCCCTCCCACTCTGAACCAGGATGTCCCACCCTATCCTCTCCATTGCTCAACATTGTGGCTGGTTGATTTAATTGACATTTTAGAGACCAAATGGTGGCATGTTTACGCAAACTTGAGACAGGTAATGCTTAGCATAAGTATCACAATGCAATGTCCGGCTTAAAACCAGATAGTTGGGGAGAGAAATCAGCATTTGAGTGAACAAGGGTAAGGTGTATACATTTCAAAAGAACATCTTACCAATACTAGATAAATTTTAACTTCTGCCTCTAGTCTGAATTTGTTTTAGCAGATTTTTCACCTGGCTGACAGACTGCATTCAGGGATCAGCTATGCACTGCAAGCTGAAATCTGGACTTGCTGAAAGCTGAAAGTAATCCAGTCCAGTGGATGTGATGGCTCCTTGTCTCTTCAACAGGATTGCTAATTAGATGGTTGCCCAGTTGCCTACCTTTTGACTGGCCTTTCATCCTTCCTGAGTCCTCAATATCTCTGCCCTAATGTCAGCCTGAAGAAGTTACAGAAGAGAGATTCATTGGCTTTTATCCTACCTAGCAGGCTGAAAGTCTAAGTCAAAAGGGACTCCCTGACATTAGCTATTATTCTGGGGACCTGCTTAGCTGGAGCAGGAACTGGTATTGCAACACTGGCTTTGCAAAGCTGGAATTATAACAGATTAAAGGCAGATATTGATAAAAATATTCACTGCCTTGAGAACTTAATACTCAGCTATCAGATTTCTAAGGAGCCTAAGATTGGCCTCCATAGTCACTAGAAAAGGGGGGGAAATAAAGGGACTGAAGATAACAGGGCTGACTCCATTCTGTTTCTCTGACTCTATCTTAAGTTGACTGTCCTTAGACTGACTTGGCCCCCACCTTCCGGTTCCAAGAAAAACCACCTGGCCCTCCACCCCGAAGGTTGTCATGGATACCGCAGAATGTGTTAATAGATAACTGCAATCAGGCCTCCACCCCACAGGCTGTCCATTGTCTTAAGTACTGCAGAATGTGTTGATAACTGCAATCAGGACCAGCGGTTTCTACAGATATCCTACAGTTTGGCCAGGTGGCCCAGACCAATCAGCTTAAAGGTTACCTTGGTTGCTGAGCCCTTACCCAATTTTACCTAATCCTGTTGGAATTCCCCATTTGCAGTTTTTCCCTTTAAAAACTCTGCCCTCCCTTGGCTCCAGGATGCCCTTTCTGAACTGCTGTAGCAGGGATGGTTGACAGCCCAAGCCTGAGCTTGAATAAAGACCCTTGTGTGTTTGCATCGGACTTGTGTTCCTGGTGGTCTCTTCGGGGGTCTTGTGATCTGGGCATTACAGATTTAAGAATGCATCAAATGGAAGCTAAAGGATGATTTTCTTGTAGTTTAAGAGAGAAATACCCCAGACAAGCAAACTGCAAATCTGAGCAGCTTCTCAAAAGAGGAGAATATGTAAGCCCTGAGAAAGAGCCCTGGCCTTGAGTTAAGCTGACACAGAATTTGGCCACTCAGTGGCAGACAGCCCCATGGTGGAGAGTGGGGCTTGAAGGAAGACTAAAGAATGCTAAGCATGTTTAGAGCAGAGATGGAAATGAAAGTAATGTGGAGCAGCAGGACTATGCTCTGCAAATCCTATGCTGGAGGAAGGAATCTGTAAACATAGTTTTTTCATCAAATTGATAGCTTTTCTGGACCGCTTTTTAGCATGGTTTAAGTTTAACCTGCATTTCTAGGAGTGGCCCTTCCTTTTTGAGGCACAGCCCACATAAAGTTGAGCTTCTTATCAGGCCAGAGATTCTACTTCCTTGGATAGAAGAAAATTTCTTTTAATGAACTTGAATGTCCCTCAAAATCTAACCAACTGAAGAGGCAGTCCTAAAGCCATTCAGAAACCACACCAGGGTGAGAGAGGACAATCACTTCTGGTATCTCCACCCTCTGGAATCATCTGCAGAGAGGCCAAAGAACATTTCCGGCTTTCAGCCAATCAGTGAAATGCTTACTTTTCTTTGGTGACTTTGTAACCTAAAGTACATAGCCAATACATGTTACTTCTTTTCATCTGTGTCCACTCTGAAGAGGTAACCTTAATTTCAATATGTTATTGGGGAGATGGCTTGCCTAGCTTCTTGTAACTTACCTGGCTTCTTAGGTTTGACATTGGGTGTGACAGTAGAGGAACTCTTCCAGGTAGGCATGCCTGATAAACCTATGTAGACCAGGCAGGATCCTATCTCAAGTAGATCTGCCTCCCTCTGCCTCCTGAGTGTTGGGGTGCAGTGGTTCTCAATCAGATCAATATAGTTATGAAGTAAAAATGAAATGAATTTTTGTTTGGGGGTCACAACTACATGAGAGTTGCAGTTTTAGGAAGGGTTTGGAGCCACCACATCCACGGCTTCAGTGGTTGGTTTAAATACAATGCCATTCTTTGCCAACACAGTAAATAGCTAATAAAACCCAATGTTTATTTAAGCTGAAATGTTCAGATATACAGCGTGGTCTTCACGTGGGTCCCCTGACAACTGGAGCAGGGGCTGTCTCTGACTGCTGCTTGCCTTTGGATCCTTCCCCCCTATCTGGGCTGCCTGGTTTAGCCACAATAGGAGAAGATGCACCTAGTCTTACTGCAACTTAATATGCCAAGGCTAGTTGATAGCCATGGGAGGGCTCCCCTTCTCTGAGGAGAAAGGGAGAAAGGGGAGGAGGCTAGAGGGAGAGGTTGGGAGGAAACCTAACGAACTGCTAATAAACGGCTCATAAAGGGTTTGGTACAATTAGCCATGGGGAAAAATACAAACGAAAACTATTAGAGGATTCATTTTACTCCAGTCAGAATGGCTGTCGGCAGATCTCAAAGGATGATGGGTCCGGGCAAGGCTGTGGGAAATAGCAATGTTTAATCACGGGTGGTGGGGTAAACGGTGGTACAAACAGCATGAAAATCATGGCAGAGATTTCCCCCAAAAGCTCAAAATAGAATTACCACATGAATGCGCTATATTATTTCTTCACAGGTACCCAACAGACTCTACAACCTACTGCAGAGACACTTCCTGATCCTTCTCTATTCACGATAACCAGAAAATGAAATCAGCCCAGATGTCCATGAACTGACGAATGGATAATAAAAATGTGAACCATATATACAGTGCAGCACGCTCACTCACAAGTGCACCAGCTTTGAATCTTTTCCGTGCTTCATAAGGAGCACTTGCGGAAGGCAGGAAGGTAAAAGAAAGCTATTGGGAAAGGCTTGCTTTATGACGGAGGAGAGTGACATATGGGTAACCGGAAAGTAGAAACGGGAATAGTGGGTGGAAAACATTAAAAACGGAGGGATAGTAGAGGAGGAGAGGTAACCAAAGTGAATGTACTGAGGTAAAGATATGGAGGCCTAGGAAATCTGCTGCATACTATTATTCTCAGCACTCGAGTGGCAGAAGCCAGTGGATCTCTGCGAGTTCGAGGACAGCCAGGGCTATATAGTAAAGCCAACCAATCAATGGGAAAACAAAAGAACAGAGAAGCTCTATGGAAACAAAATTATATAACCAAACTCGAATTAGACTATCGGAAGAAAGCGTTGGAAGGGAGAGACTCCACAGAGCTGGGAACAGCTGCTCTTAGAGTTAGAGTTTATTAAACCAAAACTCCACGGGCAGGGCTGAGGTATCTCCTACTAAGCTGTTCTCACGGAAGCCTTAGAGGTCCCCCAAATGATACAGGCTCTTTCAGTTCATCTTGTTTGCCCGCCAGAGAGAGGATAAGAACCTATTGAGGAACCACACAGTGAAGGTGCGTGGTTCGGAGAAACCAAGCTGCATGTAAGCCAGAAAACTCCTGTCAACTAGCTTTCCTAGTCCTGGAAGGTGCTGTGCATGTGCAGTCGCGGAGCTGTAAGACCTGGCAACTGTAAGGCCAACTTCCAAGCAAAGTGTGCACACTTGAGCAGTTGTGGCCCCTGTCTCATGCAAATAAACACCTACTTTCTTTTCGGATTTGAGATCTATGGCACAGAATGGGATTCATTTTTGGTACCATAAACCTTATCAAAAACACATGCCAAATAACAGCTTAGACCTTACGGGGAAACTAAATACTGTTGCTTGGCTAAATTAACACAGTGTCAAAGTGCTGTCTAAATATTTATCTTTACTCCCTTAGACCAACCTCACCATCTACTCAAAGGCTCAGCAAGGATTTTGGAAGAGAAGTTAGAAACAATGTATGTAAGAGTAACCAGGTAAGGGGCAGGGCTAAAAAAAAAAAAAAAATCCCATCTCCTGAGCAGGATATAACCGTGCAACCGGAAGCTCGCAGCATTTGTGAAAGGTTGGAACTGCACAAGAATCTATCAGCAGGAGGCATGGATGGAGGGAGGGAGAGCTGGGGGGGGGGGACTACCCCTCACTTAGGCATGGATGGAGGGAGAGCTCAGGGGGCCCCACCCCTCACTGCTCAGCTATCAGTGAGTGACAGAATCAGGGAGAGGATGAGTTACCGCCTTCAGTGGTGTACCCACAGATGACTCCCCTTCAGCAGAGTTCCAACCCAATGATCACACAGGTGGCTCTTGGGGAAGAAATGGATCACAAAACATCATCAAATCATGATTCTGAAAAAAGGACTGGAAGAATGAAGCTGTGTTGGAGGAGGCTGTTAATAGAAATGGGAGGGACATAAAGGACAATGAGGGGAGGGAGTAATAAGAGTATATTTTATACATGTCTGAAGCTGCCAAAGAACTAAATTAATACATTTAATTAAAATAAAATTAACAAACAGCAAACAATAATGCTTTTAGATCATAAATATTCTAGAGTAATTATCCTTCATAATTGGGTTTGCTTATAAGAATACTACTGTCGGGCTGGAGAGATGGCTCAGAGGTTACTCTGACTGTTCTTTCAAAGGTCCTGAGTTCAATTCCCAGCAACCACATGGTGGCTCACAACCGTCTGTAATAAGATCTGGATTGCCCTCTTCTGGATTGCAAGTGTACATGAAGGCAGAATACCGTATACATAATAAATAAATCTTAAAAAAAATGCTATTGTTTTTATGATGTATTATCCTCAGATTTAGATCCAAAAGTATTGAAAAAGGAATATGGATAATTTTATCAACAAGAATCAGACAGACATGCATACATGTTCCCATCTTTAGACTTCCGTATCACTCCTCACGTTACAATAATACAAAATAACAGGCAATTTCATATGTTGGTTATAAAATAATGTAACCGAATTAAGTAACATGAAAGTAAACTCAGATTTTGAGAAATATTTTTTCTATTACTGTGACATAAGGCAAAATATTTCTAAAAGAAGTCCTCTAAGTTCTCTTAGCACACAGTTCACCCTCCACATCACTGAACATTCTATTCCATATGGAAAAAAACCACGTTGGCTACAGAATTTTATTTAATGTAATTCTCTCTGTATTTTTATGTGGCTAAGACAGGTCCAAGAGATGATTCTCAAGTTATCTCCAGCCACTCACAGCCACGAGTAAAACCATAAACGCTATAAAGACTAAACCTCCGCACTGAAAAACTACGCCCACAGTCAATTCTTGAGTGCCTGTATTTCGTCTACGTATTTACATATTCTGCACTTCGCCTGGAGAAATCAGGTCTATGTTCAGCTCTCATTCTACCTCCCCAAACACAGGTGTCTGAGTAAATTGATTTTCTTTTCCTGTTTGCAAGCTAGTCTGCGTTTCAGACAGGGCCATCGCACTCTGAGAGAGAGAGCAGGCTTGGTAATCAGTATGTATACCAGGCAGCCCTGAAACTCAGAGAGATCCACCTGCTTCTGCTTCTTGAATACCAGGACTGATTTAAACTCATGGCCGCACACCTGACCCACTGACATAGCTCTCAGCCCAGAAGCAAAAGGAAACGTTCTTTGAGACAGAATGCAAACATCAATATATTCCAGTTAAACCCCAAAGACTCTGATGAAGCAGAATTTCTAATTTTTTTTTGAATTTCTAATTTTTAATATTGGATCCAGAAGTCCTCGCCAAGCGCAGAGGGATGAGTGAGTTCGATGAAAAGGACCACAGTTAACAAGAATCTCAGCTGCCTCGTCACAGCAAGATGGAGGTGCTTTCCGGGGTGAAGGCTTCCACCTGAATTCAGATTCCGCAGAAACATAGCGCTGGCTTCCTCGCTCAAGGAAGACCCTCATGCCTGTCTATTTTCCTGAGACAGAAATCACCTTCCACACATTATCTGTGGAGCTCTGTGAGGGCAGTTGGCCCAGCCCAGGACCTGATGCCCCACAGGAAGACCATCATGACGTCACCTTCCAGTGGCAGCCCCTGCACGGTTAGGGTTTGGGTTGCCTCTGATGAGGAACAGGTTTTGCACCCACGGCAAATCACCACAAAGGGTCGATTTGTATATCACATCCAGGAATCACTCTAAATCTGAGAAGGTTTTGCAAGTAGCTGAAAATGGATCTATCACGTGACCCAGCTACACCACGCTTGGGCATAGGCCCACAGGACTCTAGGTTCCTGAGACAGAGACAGGTTCCATCCATGCTCATTCCTGCCCTGTTCATGATAGCTAGGGAGGGGAATCAGCCTCCATGTCCTCATCATGAACTGATGAGGGGATAATCGAAATGTGGCGCATTTACACAAAGCCTAAACATTCCTTAAAAAAGGACTTGTTTCCCGTGTGCTTTAATGCAGTGTCCTCCCAGGACAGAAGAGACTGTCAGATCCCCTGGGACTGGAATTACAGATGGTTGTGAGCCACTGTAAGTGTGCTGGGAATTGAACCTGGGTCTGTGCAAGAGCTTCAAGTGCTTTTAACCACTGAGCCTTCTCTCCAGCCCCCAAAGACAGTGAAGACCAGTGGTTCTCAACATTCCTAATGCTGTGACCCTTTAATAGGGCTCATCGTGTTGCGGTGATATCCAACTATAAAATTATTTCATTGCTACTTCACCATATGAATAGTAACGTATGTATCTGATATGAAGGATATGTGATATGCGTCGTCTCTGGGTCACAAGCCACAGGCTGAAAACAATTGGTTTAAAGAAAGCTAGGCTAGGCAATATATGTGTTGATGTAACTGGTACCAGTAAGTTAACCAAAACCAAACTAGTATGTGACAGTGTGAAGGGTTATGAGACATGAGTAGGCTCAAAACTTAAATACCAGTAACTGTATTAATTTGTGGGAGAAAATGGATTAAATTTCAAGATTGAAAAGGTCACCATAAAGGAAAAGATTAATCCAATATATTACATTAAGTTTTAAAAAACTCTACATATAAAACTCCAAATACATATAAAACTCCAAATCTTGGAAAGATTTGAGACTCTATATAACAGGCAAATAATTTGTGCTAATAAATATACCGCACATGTATAGCCAATATCATATGTTTAAATACAGTTAGAAATTACATATAATTATTTTATATTTAAATAAATTTAATTTAAACATACTCAATTTAAATATACCTAAATTTATTTATTTCAATATATCAAATAACCTATCACGTCTATTTATTTGTGTTGTACATACACTTTATGTGTATTTCTTTATATACTCATGTATACATCATATGCATAATCAAATTAAATCTTTCTGTGTAAAAGAGTGAAACATATACCAAATTTTCCCTATCATGATAGCCACCATCATCCTTTCCATCCCTGTCATCCTTATCTTCTTCATTGCCATCCTTATCATCAACACCATCATAGTTACGAAAATATCTATTTCCCACAGAAGGAAGTTTGGGTATTGCATGAGACCACAGAAATCACCAAGAACAAACTACCTTTAATCTCCTCGGCATCCCATAGCACCTATCAAACGCTTCAACTAATTCATTAGCTGACCAACTATTTATATCTGCTACTGTGTGGGTGTGTGTACGTATGTCATATCACACACGTGTAGGTCAGAGGAAGCTTGGGGCTTGGTTCCTTCCATCAGCCTTTTATGACACTGCTGGGGCTTGAACTCAGGCTGTCAGTTTTCCACAGCAAATGCTTTGCCCACTGAATCATCTCACCAGCCCCTAAGATACTTAAAATAAACGTGAGAGAAAGAAAATAAGGGGCCGGTGAGGCGCCTCAGCAGGTGACAGTACTTGAGAGCCTGAGTTCAGTCCCTGGGACCCGCATGGTGAAAGGAGAGAACCAAGCCCTCAAGCTGTCCTCCGCCTCCGCATGCGCACTGTGGCACGTGCAGGCCTCCTAATAAGCAGACATAATACCATACATTGTTGTTTTTTTCTCTGTGTGTAGCCCTGGCTGTCCTGGACTCACTTTGTAGACCAGGCTAGCCTCCAACCCATAGAGATCCTTTTGCCTGAATGCTGGGCTTAAAGACACGCACCACCACTCCTGGGTTTAATGCCATACATTAAAAAGGCATCACGGTACATTTTCTTTGGTGATGTGTTATCTGTGGAACAGCTCAGAATCATTTAGAAATCCACTGTGAGGAAATCAGGGCAGAATTTCAAGAGAGGAGCAGCTGGTTTGGTGGTGAAGGAGAACTTAGAGAGAAAGGGCTCAGGAATTTCTAACGGAGTCGCACCTGTTCGTTGAACCAACACTGGACCTTCTAATCCCCTGCAGGGTTTGCTGTGGGCCAGCGGTTCTCAACCTGTGGGCTGAAACCTATTTAGGGGTTGAACCACCCTTTCACAGGGGTTGCCCAAGACCGTCAGAAAACGCAGATATTTATATTATGATTCAGAAGAGCAGAGAAATAACAGTTACAAAGTAGCAAGGAAAATAATTTTATGGTTGAAGGTCACTACAACAATGAGGATCTGCGTTCAAGGGCTGCAGCTTTAGGGAGGCTGAGAACCGCTGCTGCAGGGCGACAGGGAAACGGTTAGAATTTGTGTCGACTGGGCAGCTGTCTTCTCAACTCTACCCCTCTGATGGCTTCACGTACCGTGAAAACCAGGGACAGTGTTATCACTGCTAATGAGGGACAATCAGAGAGTGTGGTGCCGGATGGGAGGACCTGCTTCGCATCATCGACTGGTGCTAGAGATGCATGAGGAACTCAGGGTGCTAACAGACACCCAAAGGTGACAGCTTCCTCCCTCTGTGAATGTGCCGGTCATTCAAGAACTGCCACTCATTTCTTCACCTACAATTCTAAGATCCTTCTGAGAGAGTTCAGATCGACAAAGTGCTCTTTCCTGGGAAACACACACACACACACACACACACACACACACACACACACACACACTCTAAAGGAAGTCAGGTTATATGCAGAATGCCCATGGCCAGTCTCCATCATCCGGAGCAAAAGGCTGTTTGGAGAGGTCCTGGGATTATACTAATGTCTTGCTGTGTTATATCACAATAATGATAACTGCAAAACTAGAATCATGGGAGTTTCCAGCAGGCAGCCCAATGGTGATCATTTACACCTGGGGCCTAAGAGCACAGGTGAAATATTTTTACAAAGCCTGCAGCCAATGATAGAGCCATAGCAGCCAATGAGAGAAGTGAGCCAATCAAAATGCTAGCATAGCTTCTTATTCTTAGTTTTTCCATAGTGGTCCTTTGATAAGTACCAGCCCATTGGCCCCGGGTCCAGAGTGGGTAAGAAACTCATTTCCTCTAGTGAAATGTCTTTTTCTGTTTTCTCCATTCGATGCATTGCAGATGATCTACAGAACCATGAAGCTCCTTTGGCCTTCATTCAATATTGACTGATTTTATATAAGTCTATACAATTAATTTCACCATCACTCTATCATTTCTCGATGCTTCTTTTATTTATTTAGAGGCATGGCTGGAGTGGAGGCCCCAGGAATCCTATCTTTCCTTCTGCTGTTGCAAGGAAGAATTCTAATGAAAGGCATGCCAATTTATAGAGATTGCTCACCCAATGTTTCTCCCCTTTAAATGTCTTTGTTTTCCTCGGCTCGTGAGGTGGCTTAGCTAGTAAAGGTGCTTGCTACCAAGCCTTCTGAGATCCATCTGTGGGACCTGCTTGATGGAGAAGGAGCCGAGATGTCCGCAAATTGTTCTC